AATAATAATAATAATAATAATAATAATAATAATAATAATAATAATATGTATAAAAAATGAAGCAGAAAAGTTGAAATAACAAAATGAATAATTGCTTGATGTGAACAGGAAATCTAAGTCGACGTGATGAATTAAATCGAGAACGATCGAAATTCGTAGATACATTTGAAGCTGTCTTCTTCGATACTCGAGAAGGGGCTTGGTTTGATTTAAACTTGAAAACTGGCGAGCATTTCGATGATGCTTATCCATCTGTCGCAGTTCCTCTATTCACTGAATGCTATCACGTATTAAACAGTGGTATGATGGTTGACGTATTGGAAACACTCCAGCGTAAAGGACTGCTCCAATTTCCAGGTGGTATACCAACAAGGTTGTTTCTTTTCATTGCTAATTATTATTGACAAATTTTCATGAAAGTTCAAGTAAATTAGGGTCTTAAAGGTCAAATCATTGAAACAATTTTAACCTTACTGCTTAAAACTCGTTCTATTTCTTTTATAGCTAAAATTTTATCTGTTAATATTTCAATATTTATCTGCTTAGTTTTCTTTGGCATTAAGATTTATATTTTCAAAATTAGCTGATAGTTTTCAGCCTAATGAAAGGTACAAATCAACAATGGGATTATCCAAACGGTTGGGCGCCAATAAATCATATGATAATCGAAGGATTACGTAAATCCAACAATCCAACGTTCGTGATTATTTATTGTACTAATGAATTTCATGAACTGAAAAACTTCATGAAAAATTAAGCTAAAATACATTTTAAATTACTCCGATAAAACTGTATTTTTGAAGATATCATTATAATAATGCTTGGAAAGTAGATAATTAATAAGTACTTGCAATTTTTTTTGTTGTTAATCAGAAATGTGTAAATTCACGTGTTATATACGTAATATCCATATCATTAAATAAATAATGCAGTGTAAAATAATTTTAATATTTTAATTAGCATGCAACAACGTGCGTTTGAAATCGCCAACAAATGGATTAATCGTAATTATGCACTCTTTCAAAAAGATCATAAAATGTGGGAAAAATACGACGTCGCAAAAGAATATGTAAGAGCCGCTAAAGGTGGCGAATATGAAAATCAAGTCAGATTTCTGAGACTAATTCAAATATAGGTAATTTAGTGGGTACAAAAACTTATTAAAGTTCTAAAAAGAACACTTAATTCGTGAATTATAAACTAATTTTTTTTAAGCATTCAATAGAATAACTTCTCGATCAAAAATACAATAACTTTACTAATAATATCAAAAGATAATAAAATATATATATAAACTTCCAAATAGACAAAAAGTCAAAAGAAGCGTTGATAAAATAAAGTATTAGTCCTTTATTAAAACAAATATTAAAAGTAATAAAAACCTAATTAAAACATACCTAACAAAAGCAATTTACTGAAATTAAAAAATCTGTTAAGGATGTTATCAAAAACAGTTAAAAATTTTAACTTTAATTTATCAATAACTCAACACTAATTTTATAAGTAAAATTAAAGTTCATGTAATTAAATCACATAGCCGGATAGTCCTAATTTTATATAGCCAAATTAAATTTTATTTACTCAAATTATTTGTAGCCTCGAAAATTCGGACTTTATTTCTCTATGAGTTACATGGATTATCCTATCAAGCTATTTTAAATTTTGCTCTATTTTTGCATTTATACTGAAGACTTATTTTTTGAAGAATGTTATTTCTTGCTCTTTTTCCGCGACAGATTGTGATTAAAAACAAATAATTGAAATCACAATTAATCTATTTAGCATTCTAATGACAAAATTATAGCAATAAAATTGAGATGACAAAGCAAAACAAATTTTTAATCAAAGAATTTAAAAAATCGCAATAGAAAATGTTGTAGTATGGCTTTGGCTGGACAAATGGAGTGGTGCTTGACCTGTTGGTGACGTTCAGTAAACGAGCAATTGTGAAACCAACTGGTGGTGTGACCGATGTCCATGCTATGACACGAAATGAGTTATTAGTTGCTAATAGAACTATTTTGTCTCGATATTTGGATAGTGGACATTCATCTGACTTATTTTGGATATTTATAAGGCAAACTTTACACCGAATGTTAATAACTTTCTTGAAATGTAAAAATATTAACAAAAACGTAAATAGCAATAACAAACTAAAAAATATACAAATTTTATCTTATTCTTACTAATTACAAATAAAGGTGCTAATTATACAAGTTAACACTTTAAATATGTAATAATTGACAACTTCAAGTAGTTATAATAAATTTATCTGAATAACAGTAATAAAATAAGCAAGCGATATTTAAAAATGTGAATATTATTTGAATTGCTAAAATGTTTAACTTCTCATATATTGTGTGCTGTACAAAATATATATATATATATAGAATATAATTTTTTCAAATTTTAACTACAGTAATCGAATAAGACATTTGGTGCTTTTTACTGTAGTACAAATCCAGATATCTACAATAGATTTTTAGTAGAAAATATGCTATTCGATAACTTGGCAAAAAAAGCAAAATTATAGGAATGAAATAATAGATTAACCGATCATAACACCGGAAAAAATTCATATCTTAATTACAATCACATTTTTCAACTTAAAAAAAGTTCATAAAAACACAATCAGATTTTAAAATACAAGTTCAAAATATAGTAATTATAAGAAACAGCACAATATTATACTGTATAATAGAAATGTGTAAGAGAATCGCGACGAAAATGTACAAATTATGTAAAGTTTTAGTTTTATAGATGAAATCATAGTACAATTTTTTATTAAATTTAATAATTACATATCAATTTGACTATATTCATAATAATAGATAATAATAGTCAAGAAATATTCAAGAATAATCAAACTTATTTCTGCTAGCAATCAACAAAATAGTTATTAATTTACACATAACAAGCAACAAGAAAATGCTAATCTTCTTGTTTTATGTTCAAAAAAAGTAATTTTATAAAGTCAATCAAAGAATTTACGTTAATATACGTGAGGTAAAACAAATAATCAGATATGCAATTATATTCTAAAATATTAAGAACTTGATTAATTGTTAAAAGAACAAACAGTCGAAAAGAAAATTTAACAGGAATTACTATTGGAGGAAAAGAAATGCATAATTTTTTGATTCTAAATAAGGATTCATAAATTAGTTTCTAGCGAATGTCCAAATCATAATTCATTCTATCTAACCGAAAACTCAGAATATATCAAGCACTAATAATCATTATGCAAATTTATTACCGCCAATATTATACTCTCAGACTTTTTTTGTGACACCGGTCAGTTCACATGACGGCATCAAGGGAAACGTAAAATTAAATGAAGATTCCCAACCAAAGTCATGAAATTGACTGAAAATTGCAATTTGCTGAGTAATATTGTGATTTTTTGCTTTCCTTCAAATAACTGTCGAGAGAGTTCATAAATTTATTTAATAATTTTCCCTTGCAGTACACATCTAGGCAATAACTATGATTTCACATTAATCAAATAATATAAAAATCAACACGTATATAAAAAGTAAAACTATGATTACAATTAATCTGTTGAAAGACGTGAATAATACAATGGCGCAGAGATTAGCGGTTTGAGAAATTACATAATTTTAAGATCTAAATTTTGTAAAAACAATTCAAGTAAAGGTGCATTTTAAAAATGATTTCAAAAATGAAGCTTTAAAGTCTGCGTATAATAATATATTTTACAGGAGAATTATCTACAAATTGCATAATGAAAACAACTGTTCAAAAATACAGATTATGTAAAGTATACATAGTCAGAAGATCGAAATTCAATTACAATTTAAAATGTTTATTATGCAGTATCAAATTACAAATAGTGCATTGAAAATGATAGGTTCGTTAATACGAAAAACATGCTTCGTTAAGACTGCCTTGAAATAAGCAACGTACAAAGACCTAAAATGTATGCAAAAATTAATTTCACTTGTACTGACAAATGCAACCATGATGGAACCGTCGTTACAACATCTAATCCTTCAGTTGGAAGCATTAAAACGACTGCGCAGATGCCAACTACACACATACATGACATAAATGATGGTGAATTTAATCGATGTTGACTTTCACTTACCGGTAAAAACTGCAATAACAAAATTATGAATAGTATATGCTCAAAAACATCGCAAGTTTCATTTTCTTTACTAACGACGTGAAATTTACTAAAACTTCTGCAGTTAAGAATGAAATTTACTAAAACTTCTGCAGTTAAGAATAAAACAAAAGTACCTCCGTTGAAATTATATTAACCGCAGAATTACTGCTGGAAGATTTAAAAACGGAATTGTGAGAACTAGTAGAGCATGTAGCTTCTTCCACAATGCGTACTGGAACATCAATTGATCCGGAATACTATGAAACAATAACCATGTAACATTTTAACTTGATTTTCACAATTTGCGAAAATCCACCATTTTTTCGGTGAATAAAAATATCTTCACAAAAATTTTGAGAGCCTAATGTTTGAGGATATTTCAATATATCAAAAAATCATTTTGAATGAATGAGAAACTTCCACTGATTTTATCACACTTTTAAAAGCTGATAATTCAAGAAATCATAATGACATAACTAATTTTCTACAATAAAAGTAATGAACTTATTTGCCATATGGAACTGTAAAATCAAAGCTACAAGACAACATACAGTACTCAGTTCAAATTTTCAAAAACTTAACGATCAACCTATCTTCGTAGTGAAATAAATATTTACTTCACAAAAATAAGCTCGAAAATTTACAGAATTTATTTTACGGAATTTATGTCCAACAGTAGTTCCGAAAAAACCACATAAGCATATTATTATTCTCACCATTTCAAGATGTGCGGGAGAAACTTCGACCCGAAATGTATCTAGACCACGATTACTTTCTAACTGTGCAGCTACGTGTCGAACAACACTGAAAAAAAAATGCACAACTTGCAATAACTATTACTAGGAAATAACAATTTTGTTCAGTTTCTATTAGATATAATCAAGAACACATTTAGCGTATTTAAATTTTAGAATCAGTAATGATAGAAAGTCAAACTATTTTTTACCAAAAAAGTGGAGAAAAAACAACAATATTTATTAAGAAAATTGTAAACATTAAAAGAAATAAAAACAAAACAACATCTGATACTATTTTGCTACTTTCCATTTTTTTTTGGGATACTATTTTACGAAGCTCATATAAATTATACTTTAAAAATTTACTATAACTACAAGACAACAGTAATTGTACTGTTAAGTGAAAGTTCTTTGATTGATTATTACAATAAGTGTACATTTTTTTACAGAATGAAACCACTGAAAAAAAGATGGAAATTTCTCAAAACACAACTCACCTTTGCTGGTAAATTCCATTCATAACTTATCATGAACGATAATATTAAAAATAAAACCTATCAAATGAACACTTACATGTCAAGAGAAGATGATTCCTTCAGCATTCCATGAGGTTTCATCACCACATAATTTTTTGGATTCGTACACTTCACTAAATTATAACCAACTAGTTATAATACAATAATAAACAATCAAAATATTTCTCTTATCATTGTTTTTCTGTAATAAACAAGTTTATTTGCCAAATTATCACACATACTATTAAATTTTATTATGAAGTTCATGTAATGACTTTGTCAATTTCCTTGATCTTTTTATACTCCATAATTATTAATCAGCTAATTAGCTTTGTCTCCCCTCACACACTTCATAATTTGTAGCCAAAAATGCAATCTGTCCCTCACGAAAATTCACTCAATATCTAATGCAGAAATATTTTACGTGTGGACAGAATAAAACTGTTACTGTTTAAGAATAAAAAATTGGAACTTAATTCGTTCATCTCAACTGGATTCAGAAGATTTGAATATCTACGAAGCGAAAATAAATTTGTGCTACTTCTTTCTACTTTCAGTATTGACATAAAGACTACCTAATCAACATAGCAATGGGTAAAAATGTACAGACCACTTTCTACATATCGACTTTGTAAAGTCTTATACATTTAGTTAGGCACACATGTGATAAAATCCGCAAGTGGCCTACATTTGTTCTTTATGGTCATAATTTCGAAATTACCTCGAAATTTGACTGGAAAGTGATATGGGTTGTACAGCGTCAGCACCTGCTTATATGTCTGAGGATCAGCTTGAACAATTTCTAACTGACTAGGAAAAACAAATGCAAAAATGGCACTTCCATAACTCGCCATATCATTGCTTTCTTTTGGCTTGTTAATTCCAAAGTTTCTGAAAATCGGAGATGACTCCCGACCAATTTCAATCAACATGTGTTGTTTCTGAATCAATGCACCAAAGTAACGAAAGTAGATGAAGAGGAAATACTATGGAAAATATCACGAGAACATCTAGATACTGCCCTTATTGAAATGAAGTACAGTCCACGACGACCCTCAACTCTATGCAGTTAAATTGCAACGATTACAAAATTAAAAGCTTTATTTGAGAAACCTCATTTTGGTAGGGTAAATACGCATTACTGCACAGCAAATTAAGAAAAATTATGGATGCGACGAATGAAAAATTTATTCAAAAAGCCAACAAAAAGAATAACATGTTTTGGAGAACAAAAACGCAAACAAAATGAAGATCAAAAGCTGAACAATTATTTGCCTCCTCCTCTTACGGAAGAAAAACAGTAATAATATAATGAATATTAATGAAAGTTAATTAAAATTCACCGCGATCAATGGCAACTTGAAATGATGATGGCTGATAGTTCTTCTAATGTTCAGTAATAAAAAGCGAATAAATTCAAAGCAATTTTGGGGCAAACGTGAATAATGATCTATACCCCGCCTTCCTCACCACTTACAGTTGAAGAAAATTTTACAACCATCAACAATAAAAGTAACAGTATGCACGTAACTTAACAGACACAAAACAAAAATTATCTCAGATTACTATGCACCTTCCATTAAAAAACAAACCAATGCTTTACCAACAAACTAGTTACAAAACACTACACTCTATCACATTCATAGGCTCAGTAAATGAGTTTATTCATGAATAAGGCAAGCATCCCTTGAAACACTACAGAATCCTAGCGTATAATTAGAAAAAACTAGACCTATGTGCTTTTCGCAAATGTTACCACCTACATTATAAAACTCTACTTCCTTGACTAGATACTTCAATGTGACTCAATAAACAAAAAGATATCAGATAATGATGAATGGATGTAGGGATGACACAAGCCATTTTTAACTCCTGCAGTTTGGAGATTACAAAATCCTAAAAAAATCCCTCGAGTACATTTTAAAAATGAAATTTCCAAATCATTAAACATTTAAGGACTGCAATAAGTAATTATCAGACTTATGCCGTGCCTTTTATATGTTACGTTAAACACTTGATAATATTTACGTCTAACACACCGCTGCAAACTGCAAAAAAATTATTGAGAACGCATTGCTCTAGTGTTGAGGGATGCAACTACTTCAAATAATAACCTCCCATGAATATTATTCTCAAAGTCACTAATTATCTGATAATAGTTCAATTGAAATTGAAGGCAAATTAATTTTAACAAAAAAGAAATACCAAATGATATACAATGCTCTCACATTTCAGATCGAAAATTAGAGACATCAAAATCTAAACAGTGAAACCACTACTGTTCAAGTAGTCAAATAAAACCTTTCCCTTCACAAGATTAAGCTTAGATTTAATAAGAGCAGTGAGAAAATGAAACAGATATGAGCTGATTACAATTCACGATGCTAAATCACATACATCACCGTCAACTTCAAAATTGAAGAATGATAAAGTGGACTATCATAGCAAAGTATCAATGAGAGTAGTAGGCTTTATGATCTTGGAAAACAACAAAGATCCGAACAAAATTCAAGTGAAACAATAATAAAATTGGAAAGACATTTGCATAAGAAGAAAACGGACGCTACAGCGCAGCGAGATGCAATTCTTCCGTAGTAGCTTAATATTTGGGAAGCAACAGAAAACAGACATACACAACTCACATGATAAGAAATTCATAAACCCGTTATCACTGATGCTAAAGAGAAACATATCAAACGAAATCAGAATCTATGCCGCATACAAAATATAATAACATTAATAGATTTCACAAGATAAGAGAAGATCTAATATCATGGAGAAATCAAATTCCGGAAATAGTAAAAAACCTGCGTAGGTATTAAGATAATGATGAGTCATGCAATCAAACACATCATATTTGAAAGCGACGAATGTACAAGCAATAAAATGTACGAAACGAGGATAAAGATACAGCGGCAAAGCTAAGGATTCCAATGAGATTCTCAATAGCATAAAATAACTCGGATCACTCAATCGTTTCCCTTCTGCTCACATGTCTTTCTAGAAATTAACGCTATACACGCCTCATTAACTTTAATGTGACGTAACGCAAACATTGGCAGTAACGATTCACCACAACTACGACATAAAGCACCGAGATATAAAAAAGTTATTACGCTGGGCAATCTCTTTTACGTAGAATGTCAAGTTAAGCATACTGCAACACACATCACGAAAAATAATAAACGGATCTTGTATGTTAAAATTTAGAATTGAAGTAGATAGTATCTTGTATTACTAACAAAGAGCGAAAAAAATGCCCTCTGCAAAATCATACCAAAAAAAAGGAAAACGTAATTTGGATCATTGCTGCCTATCTAAGCTGAAAACCTGTACTTACAGAAAACTTGTTATTGATTAGAGAAATGGAAATCTTACTAAAATCACCATTTTAATGTTAACTAAAACATTAAAAATCATCTTCCCAATCCTCTAAGCTAATTAATTTGAAAAGTATTGAAAATGAGACACACAGACAAGGAGCAATTATATAGTCCACCATAGTAACATTAAGATAAATCATTCATGTCTGAGTTAACAAAACATGGTCAAAGAAAATAAAATAATAAAAAATAAAACGATTTAAACGTAAAATAAAAAGAACTATTTAAAAATAACATAAAAATTTGATTACTTCGCAACAAGAAAATATTTTGCATTCCATCGTTAAAGTCCGGTAAAAAGCAAACCTCAAAAACACTCAAAAAGTTAAAGGAGGCAATATAATGAGATTCAGCACTTCATAATTTTGTAATTGCATCCAGCAATTTAATTGTTCCACCAATCCTGAAAATAGAGCCGGATAATTACAAGAATTTTATCAAGTTCTATGAAAACGAATATTAAACGTGAGTAAATAAATTAGTAACATAGCAACCCAGTAAGTAGTTGAAAGCTTCCAGAATTCTTATCTAGGAGTATGGAGCAAAATCTGTACAAATTAGAGGATCATAAACTAAATCTCTATTATATTATTTTCAATACTTCTCTCTTCAAGAGCGAAACAAATTTGTTAATTCAGATTAGTCCATTAAACAAATCTGAATTAACAATGTTGTTTCTTCACGAAGCCGATTTTCAGGGTAAGAAGAAAACTTTGGAACAAAAAGCAAGCATTTTTCCTGAGTACATCAATTCATCAACAACTTTTATTGTAGAGAAACTTATCAATTTATAAACAATAAAAGTAGACTAAATCATTAACCTCAGATATACCCTCAGACTTTTCCACAAAACCTTTTATAATATAGTAAACTGATCGAAATGTTTATAAAGAAATATTTAACTCAGTCTTCTATAATTAACTTTTAAGTCTGCAATACTTACTTCTCATTCCCACACAACACTTATTAAAACAGCAGTGGACAAGAAATCAATATAAATCTGTTTAAGGAACCTGTTGAGGTGGAGCACGAGAGGAACGCTGTGGATGGTTCCACTGATTACTAGATGGTGAATAACTGATGCCATTCTGCCGATGGGATCCACCACCACCTCCTGTATATTGAATACGGTGATCACGACCGCCGAAACGGCTGAAACTTTTTTAAGCTGTAGATATTTTTACAAATAAATTGCAGTAGAAGTTATAGTTAATAATCTCCTTTCGATCACTAAAACCGATCCATTTAGCAGTAATTTAGACAATGATACCAAAAAAGTTAAGAAAAAATTAAGAGGACAGAGCTCAACAACGGAAGTAGGAAGTATTTTGAAAAAAATCCTTGTTTAACTTCTGATTAAAGGTAAATATATAAGCACGTTTAATTAATAATATTCAAAAGTAGCTGACAAATTTCATTTTGAGTCTTCTTAGATGCTTAGATCAAGTAAATAATTAAATGTAACTTGGCACGATATACTAACCTAGCTCCCTTTGTACGACCTGGTCGTGTGCCATATCGCTGTGCATCAGCTGACAATTTTTCTAGCCATTCCGGAAGTTCCTGATTTGCCTCGACCACAAGTTCTGCCAAATCACGAGCTATGTTGCGATTTTTATCGTTAAAAAATGAAGTAGCAAGTCCTGAAAACAGATTAATGAAATAAAAATTCTATAAATTAAAATTCTAACGATTTTACATCTACTTACCAACATTTCCAACACGTCCTGTACGACCAATTCGATGCACATATTCATCAATATCAGATGGTAAATCATAATTGATGACGTGTTTCACGTTTGGTATGTCAAGACCCCGAGCAGCTACCTAGATAAAATTAAACTCAAAATCCATAGTTTAATAACAAAAACTAAAAACTCAAACTAACTCAATTATCTAAAAAACATTTTCACTCACTACAAATAAGCATATTAAATTCTACTTTCCTCCCTCGCAATTTTTTTTAAAATAAAGTACATCAATTTTAAGATAGTAAATTTTGCACTTTCTTTAAAACGCATAATTCTAGAACTGTAAACTAATAAAGTCTATCTTCATACTTAAATTAGCCATTAAATAAACGAATCATATTTGCTTCTGAAATTGAAAAACTAAAACCAACCGCTGTGGCAACAAGTATAGGAGCAACACCAGAGCGAAAAGTTTCTAGATGCTTCTCACGTTCAAATTGTTTTAAATCACCATGGATTGCGACAACATTATAGCCATCTTTTTGCAAATAATATGCTAGATCGCTTGCTCCACGTTTAGTTTCCACAAAAACAAGAGTTAATGCTGATGGTTCTAAATTGAAATAAATTGTGATTATCAAGTACCATCATAATTCAAGATTATTGTAAAGTACCAAATGGAAATTTACATACAGATATAGATAAAGAGCAAGAAAGCAATTCTTATTTCATGCTAATACTTAAAATATCGTGAACACAGATTCTATGTACATAAAAAATAAACGTAGCAATTTCTAGCACTAATCAAAATACTTTACAGATGAACTGAGAGAAGTCAGCATTATATAACATTAAAATATTAAGTCAAAAACTTCCATCATGCACAAATAGTAACCTCCAGCATCAAGCAAATCCATAAGAAAGCTTTTCTTTTCGTGTTCTTCTACCCATACAATTTTCTGCATTATATTCTCTGATGTTGAGCCAACACGACCAACAGCCAAAAAAACATAATTTGACATCAAGAAATCTTGCGCAAGAACTTGAATTTCCTTTGGAAAAGTCGCCGAAAACATCGCTGTTACTCGTTTACCTTTGGGCGGCATTTTCGATAAATCAACAATCTATAACAAAAAGATATTTGTGAAAACACAAATATTGGGTTTATAAATAAGTAGAGATACCCACAAGAGATTAAAATAAAACGAGCACAAATACCTCAATATCTAATTACCAACTGCAATTAAAACTTTTCGAAGACTCACTTTGAAATTTTACACTTGAGTAAAAAAATTGCAAAGATTCCTATCTTAAATACAAAACATTTAAGAAAGAAATAATTAACAAACTTGTCGTATTTGTGGTTCAAATCCCATATCAAGCATCCGATCTGCTTCATCGAGCACTAAGAAACGGCAACCATCAAGACCAATAAAACCTTGTTCCATTACATCAATCAAGCGCCCAGGAGTAGCAATCAAAATATGTACTCCCAACTTAAATGAAAAGGATATTATACGTATTTGAATCTGTCTTAATTTAAAGTTTGTATGTAAAGTATCTGGCATGAATATCTTTCTCAGTATATTCATGTCTTATTAAGTACAATATCACTATAGCCTGTTATCAGCAATGATACAGAAAAATATTTTTCGATCATCAATCAATCCAGGCACTCGGTTCTACTAATTCTAGTTGCTTACAATCTGTGAAAATAATAGTTGATTGTTTTCATTCTAGCTACGACTATACAGTCCTCAAATAATTAGAAGAACTAAGTTCAAATCAACAGCTTCACGCACTACTGACAAAATTTTTATCAGAATAACACGATAAACGAATACATGTAGAAAACAACATACACGTAGTTTATTAATTTGTTCCCGATAGTTTTCACGACCACCATAGAGAAGAGCCGATGTTATAGGAGTACGATATGCAAATTTACGCGACTCGTTATAAATTTGTAAAGAAAGCTCACGAGTCGGTGACAAAATTAGTGCAGCTGGATACTGGCGACGACGTCCATTTTGCTGAGTGGTTGACTGAAACAAGACATAAATTGTCGCAATTTTTCGAAGTGATGAAAAGGATGGAAAGAAACATGAAGAACAGTAACCTTATAAAGAGCGTCTGGACCCGCTTGCAAGACATTATTGATTAGTGGTACTAGGAATGCAGCTGTTTTGCCCGATCCAGTTTGAGCGCATGACATTAGATCACGATTGCTCATAAGCGTTGGAATAGAATATTTCTGAACAGGTGTAGGACGGCCATAACCCGAAAGACGAATGTTTTCTTCAATCCATGGATGTAGTTTCAAATCCGCAAACAACGCTATAGGAGACGGACAATCTTGACCAGTTGCTTCTACTGGAATCTCCTCATACTTATCAAAGTTTATACCAGAGTTCATGCCAGCAAATAACTCAGATTCCAAAAGTTCATCACGAGGTAATTGTTCAGTCCACTGTGGAGAACGTTCTGGCACCGAATCTCGTAATCCCGCCCATCGCGAATTACTGGAGAAAGGAAGATATTACTTGACAAGAAAAAAGTTTAGAATTAGAGACAATGACTACGATCCTAACATATGATTAAGTATTTTCAGTACAATCATACTCAAGAACTGCTTTGGAATCTCATCCTATAAAAATTTACTCAGGTATGGTGTCGTCTTGACGACGAAAATTGCTTTGATGTTGCGAACCCCACTGTTGCTCATCATACACTGTTCTGTAAAATAGAAATTAGGAGAAATTTCGTTTAATACTCAAAAAATTAAGCATGAAACTCAAACTAATCGCACCAAAATCATGCGAACCATTATTTCAAAGATGTTTCAATTGTTAGAGAAATATTAAACAGCAAAAACGCGACTGCACAGAAAGTGGTCCAACTTTGAGCCACATGCTTAGCTTCTAGAATACATTCTTACTTTTTGCTATTGTAAACAAAATAATAATTTCTTTCACTGCACATAAGCTTTTCTCGCTGCGTATATTCCAGTTTTATAGAATGCATAACTTTAATAAAACACAATGCTCTCCCTTCTAAAACAGCAGGATGATTATATCCATATCACAAGAGAATTTTTAATAGCTTCCAAATTACTAAAAAGGAGATCAAACACTAACAACTTATAGTTTTGCAGATCTCCCTTAAACATGCACCAAACTACTGAAGAAACTGAAAAAATTAGACTTAAATTAGATAACGAATGACTGAAACAAGTAATCTTGTATGACACAAAAACTACTAAATTGAGAAAGATTAAAGATGACTGAAAAATGAATTCAGGAACGAGAAAAAATATTCAGCACACAATCCGAACGATAAAAGATTTAGTATCAATAACAAGAATGAAAAGGTAACACAAACTGAAACCCCATCCAACATTCAAAAATTTATCAGTAGAGTACATAATTACTGCTCTATGCAAAAAAAATGCAAAAATTTATCATAATTCAGTTTCTCTGGAAAAAAAAAACTCTAAGAACAATTCAAACAGATTCTCGTAGAATTTTGATGGGACAAATGCTAAACTTGAATTAATTTCAAAACCATGCATTTTAAATATTTATATTTAACAAGAATAAGATGCATAGTAGTTTGCAGACTACAAGACTCAAAGCTAACAGAAGACCAAATCTTATGAAGTAATATTCGCATTTCTGATAACCTGCAGAAAACTTGCCAAAATAATAACTAACCAGAAATCTATAACTATTATGGAGCTAAAAATATAATAAAATTAATTAACTTCATCACAAATATGATAAAATCACTTAACTTCGAAGTTTCATGAATTATAAAAGAGATATATTTCTTGGTTGCTCCTTTCTATCTTGAGCTCCGTATTTCGGCTCAAATACTTATGTAGCAAAAGTATTTACAAAGTCATCGCAATTCAAGTATATCACCAAATATTTTCTGAACCACTTGAACTTGACTTTTCAATGTTGTCATTTCATAACATTTTAATTTCATCTCCATTTGTGCAAAGTGTGACCAATCTATTCGCAAATCTAATCTATTTTCAAATTCTATAAACCCTCATCAATCTCACATGAATCACACCTTCTCAAACTCTCCTTGAATTTACTTACACTGTAAGTTACTTTGCTTCTAATCCAATTCCACACATTTCTAACCTCCGATCATATGAATATCGTCCGGTATAATTGGGACGTCCTCGACCACTACCATGAGTGTCACCATAATTTCCTCTTCCACGTGCATGGCCATCATTTCTACTGAAACCACCAATAGAAGGCCCAAACCCTGCTCGTCCACGTCCCGGTCTACCACCCATAGACGGCTGATAATCATAACCTTGTACCGATGAATTATTGCTCCACTGTGCTCCATAATCACCTTGCTGTAAATGATCACATAATGATGTGAGAACAAAGTTGTTATTTATTTGAAAAAAATGACTTCATTTCTTTGCACTTACTGCAGAACGGGAAGTATACAGATGGCTGATAATCATAACCTTTAAATCATTCACAAAATTAGCGCTAACAGCAAGTTCGCAAATAAACTGATAGATTGGAATAATTTTTTGCCCCTTATTGGATGGATTTTTTTTGTGTTTTACTTATTTCAATCGAAAAAATTATTAATCCGAGCTAGATACCGGCTGCATTCCGGCATAACTCTGACTTTTACGCATAGGCATAACGCGGTCATTAAAAGTACTAGTTCCACGTCCGCTACGGCCATATTGCTCTGCACCACGCGACCAATTTTCGTGTACTGGGACACCTTCTGGAATTATTTCATTTGCTGTTGCTGTTGCTGAGTAGCGCATATGAGGCGGAATGTAACGGGTTTCTGCAATTACACTTTTACAGAAGTTCCAAAAAATTGAAACTTGACATAGTAAACGAGAAAATTAAATTACACACTTATAATATGGTTTAGAACTGCTACAAAAATCTGTCAAATTTTAAACTGAACATCTTGATTACTTTTAGAAGAGTAAATGCAGAATTGAAAATTAATACTTTTGTTACACAATTTTCGAAATTTTGCAAGTTTTATGATGCTTGTTCAGGGAATATACTTTCTGATCCTCGGAAATGTTAAATTCATCACTTATTCAACGACACATTAAGAATAAAATTTTACGAGTGCACAAAGAAATAACTGATAAGTTCATTAAACATGAGTATTCTAGACATCACTAGTATACATACACTTCTCTTATTATAAATCTTTACCACCTACACATCCATGAATCATATTTGTAATATAATTTGACAAATAGATTAGACATTAGTAATGCAAACATACCATGTTGTGACAATGCTTCACTGGATCTTGGGACTGTTGCAGACGCACCTGTTTTAGGCTGATGGGGAAGTTGCGCTCCAGGCGCTTCCCCCCCAGTCCAATTTTCGGAACCTGGTGCGTTTTTTACATACTGGTAGCCGTTATCGAAATTCTGACCACCATATCCAAAATTTCCACTGTTCATAATAGATGTACCTGATTTTCACCACATTTTAACTTTTTATAGGTGCTACATAAAATTCAGTAATACTCATTCCACAGTTTTATTTACAGGATTATAAACTCATGTAAACCATTAGTACATGTCTCAAATTAAGACCACATCAAAAAATATACCTAGTACATTTAATTTTTTTTGATGTCAACGAAATTAATACAATCAGAAGTGACAGCTATCAATTACAACATCATAAAATTCAATTATTACAACGAATAATATCGAGTATTTTTCTTTGAAAAAACTCATGCACACAGCATTAGATCATATAATCGGTATCGCCTACTGTACAACAAACTTTGCGAAGACAAAGAGACTGAGAAAATTTGCAGTGTAAAAATTATGTTGAAATAAACTCCATCATAAACATTTAGTCTTCCCTTGACTTCATACAAACTTCATGCAAAACTTACAGTTTGCTATGTAGTCAACACTAGTCAGATATATCTAAATTTATACCCATTACTAAACAGAAGTTGTCCATTTCTAACACTTATTATTAAAAACTAAGTATCGAACAAGCATAGTGTCTCGTACTATTATTTAATAGTATTAGATGGCTGAATAATGTGCATCACCGCGCTGCATCAATAGTAATAAAAAGATGAATTAAATACTAATTTTCATCCAATTAGTTTCAGTTAGACACACATTAATTAGTCATTTGCAATAGGTACGGTAGCTCTAGTATGATGAAATACAACCAATGCAAGGAAGGTTGGGTCAGGTCACCAAATACTCTATTAGGCTGCATTCTGCTCAACTCAACTTTGACCTTATATAAATTCTACGTGAAACAATATCACAATGTCATCTGTTCACTCTATACTAATACAGTCTTACAGCCTAAACTGCCTCATGCAAACATTAACAGCTAGCTCTTTCTCTTTAATTTCATCACACTGTACAAAACTACTGCATACTATTTATTTCATCATTACGTAAGACACGTCATCAAAACCACTGAATAATAATAGCTTTGTGTTCAGAGTATTATCATCATTCTCTCCCATACTATACTATACTGTAATATACTACATAAAAACATAGCATAGCATAGCATATCACACTTTGCTTGCTAGTTATCACATTAAGAGTAACGTGCTTAAGGCAAACTGAGCAAAAAAATGATCACAAATAGCATTGATAGAAGCCAAATGATAATCGATAAGCAAGGAATAGCGAGAAGTAGGCAGAATGCGTCAGCCAGTAAAGAAGAAAACCGCCGAACAAACACACTGTCTCCCGCTCTCTTTCTCTTTGTCTAACACTCAGGAAGATGTATAAACGTGTTTGTGTGTGATTGTGTGTGTGTAATGTGCGTGCATGTGTCTGACGCTAGTATATGTGCATGTGCGCTGGCGTTAAAGATCGAAGATTACCTCCACCCGAATTGGTCGACATCTGTCAGGGGGACGTTCAGTCTTCACAAGTTAGATGTGTACGTGTATGTATGTGTGTGTATGGGTGTGTCTGTCTACACATGTTTGAAAGGAAATGAATTAATTTCAATGCGTCTGAAAATATTCGTGGATGCGTCTTGAAAAAAAAAGATACGTTACTTCTATTCAGAAGTATCAAAATTGAATGAATAGAATGGTATGTTTTGATTGATAAAAAAGTAAGAATTGAAGAAAACATACGGAGATATCAGACAAGAGTTATAGCTGATAAGACAAGATTTACTACAAATGATGTAAGCAACGCGGTTTTGTTGGTAGGTTAGTAGTGACTGGCTACATACTATTGAAGTTGAGTTGTATTATTCTTGAATCCAATACGCAAAAGACGCTTCATATTTGTTGGCTGTCAACAAGAGGTACCGAAAGAGCGAAGAAAGGAATTTTAAACAAGAAGAGAAAGACGCTATAAGCTATAAGCGTTGTCAGGGATGGTGTGTAGCACTACGTACTTTCGAAGGCTGTCCTACAGACTTGATGAAATTTGTTCAACTCGTCCTATCTTTTTGCTTTTCTGTTTGCAGATTTTAAGTTTTGCAACGACTAGCATAGTTGGACTGCTAACTAGCATACGTGTGGCGTACCTCTAAATGTTACCAATTAAAGGTGAGAGAGTGCGTGAGGTTACGTGAATGTAAGATTGTAAATGCTTGCATTCATTTACTCCTGACCACCTTTCGGACGCTTTTCATTGATCTCACACGTACCCCATTAGAAAAAAAGTACCGCAATTGCCTGCTGACAGCTGTCCAGGTATGCAAAGCAATTATCTTTGCGCGCACTTAACCTCACTTGACCTTAATGTTAGTAGCCTTGACCTTTTCAACTCTCCCATATTTCCACACACACACACACACATACACACACAATGTAACACAATCGACCCGACCCGTCTGCGTCTGCGCAGTTTCTGCAAACGCATTAATTAGTCCCGGCTGCGGCAAAAACCGTTTACCAGTTTGTATACCATAGACATAGGCGAGATGTAATGGGGATAAGTAGAAGCTAGCTTTTGCTATCTTTTCTTCTCTGGTCTCGCTTTTCTTCTTATCTCTAGTCGTCTACCAAGGCGGGCATGGGAGGAAGACCGAGTCAGAGAGATCTGTTCATATGCAGTAGCATACTACTTGTTCAACGCTTAGTTGTTGCCGATTTTGATCGGGGAAAATAAATGGTCTGATGTTAGAGTTTAGCCATCATACACGTACGTAAAGATTGTAGAGGGTAAGAAAGAAGAGTGTCTAGCTACGGAGTAAGAACTTTAATTTGCTTGTTGTTACACGTAGCATACGTGAGAACTGTTTATGAGAAATGAAGCAAGAGGGAAAAGAGAGTAAGGACGTTGTAGTTGATGTAGGAGAGCAGAGTGTGAAGGGAAATATGGGAGATTGGATGAAATGAGGTACCGTGCCACTGGCACTAACTTTTCAAGTAAACATCTCTTTTTTCACTTGCAACACCATGTTTGTCTGTCTCGCAGTATACGTCCATGTATTTGGTCAAGTTGATGTGGTGTGTGTGTGTCTGTGTATGTGTCTGTGTGTGTGTGTGTAAATGTATGTGTAAATGTATGCAATGCATATCTCTGTGAATGCTGTCAGCACCATTTCAGTCTGGCGTGTTAATATACCTTCCTGTTCCAATTCGTTCTTCTCTATATCACACATTTGATGTATGTGTGCATGGCCATGCATGTCTGTGTGTGGCTATGTACGTCGGTGCGTGTGACCCTGTACGTATGTGCGTGTGGCCTTGTACGTAGGTGTTGTATGCCTGTGGGTGTGTGTGATTGCGTATATCAGTGGCATCATTCTGTGTATATCGATGTGTATGTTGCTACATCGTTGTATGTGCATATGTATGTAAAGTGCACAGGCTTTTGTATGTGTATAACAGATGAACATTAGCCTGAGTAGTAATATCATTGATACCATAAAGTTTAGAGTAGTTTTATACGGTTGAATCTATTGACCATGAAGAATTTGACAGTTTATAATGATTTACTAAGAAAGTAGCATTCCAGAGACGATCGCAATAGTTATAGGGAAAAGTTGATTCAGAATTGTTCACTTGGGGGTTTTTGTACACGCGTCAGATTTCCACGTCAAGTGTACCAAAGCAGCGTCACAGGGCTTTTTCAGGTTTGTTGTGTACTTTAAATTTTTTTCGATTTACCGTAATTTGTTTGCTGGTCATTGGATGTACATAGCTTTATCTGTGAGCTTAAAATTTCACATTAATTAGGTTGATTACGTGATGTAGTTTATCAGTACTATGCTATAGTTTTGTGCTGCAGAATGGCTACGAATGCATGATGAATGTTTATTTTCTCAATATTCTCAATTGATTTTCATGGCATGATTCTTGAGCTTTAGAAATAAAGCTTAATTTTCTTGCCATCATTTTTGTCATCCAAATCTTTTTCTCATCTCTTCATGTCATACGCTTTTGTAAGCCGAAATCTGATAGATGTAGTAGGTGAGCCGATAAAATTTTTATGAATCATACTTGAAAATACGTTATGTAAAGAAATCAGTTTGGAGCTGAATCAAATGTCAGTTTTTTCAATCGTAACTTAAATCGGTCTACTCCTAATCAGAAATTCTAAGTTCTTAAATACTCGCCACTTTTTCAAGATCTTATTTGATGTAAATTATGTTCTCAGCTGTTGGATCTCACTGTTTTAAGTATTTGATACCGCTTGGGAGATTTAACTCAGCATTCAATGAGTGTAGGATAGCAGTTGATCATTCTTTTACTTCACTGATGCTTTATTCTCATCTCATTTAAATTTGTACCTGTAGTAAGTAGCAACAGATTTTATTCCACTCTCTATCTTAATCTAAGTTTCAAATCTTTGGAATTCTTTTGTTATATGAATATCCGTTCTCTTCACTATTTTATTCTGTTCATCGTTAGTGATAGCACATATGTTTATCGCATTACACTTTAGTCTGCGTGCTGAATTTTCGATTAATTCAGTTTATTTAAGTTATTTGTTGTGAAGCATTATTTTGTCTCATTTTGATACATATACGCTGTTTATGTGTATGAGTTTGCCAGTCTTTATATTATGCCTTAATATTGTCTATTTTCTTGAATAGCGTGTTTTCAATATGATATTGACTGACTTTGACTCTGAAAAAATGGTTTCGAATTTAAGCGACGTACTTTGTATATTTGTTTTCGCAGTTTACTTTGTATTGGAAACCGCTCAACAACTTGGCCGAGTACACATGTATATATTACCCGTTATAGAATATGATATAGTATTATTTTCTCAATTTTTCTTCAGCTCTTCCATGTCGAATATAGGATCGACATCTGGACAGCAAGGTGACAACATAACACCGCCTCAGATTAGTCGGAAACGTGGTTCTCATAATTCAGGTAGTTTCCTTCCATCCCTATTTTTATAAACAAATTATATTCATCTTGAATTTTTATAATCTTTAGTTTGTAAGACATTAATATATAACTTTATTTCGAAATTAAAAAATTTTGATTAAAATTTTACGTTAGAACATGTCAGAAACTACATCGATGCATGTCATACCTCTAAGAATAACTTATGATCATTACTGTTATGCATCGTGGTCATAATGTCATAGTAATGTCCGCTCCCATCGGTAGTTTACATATACGCAAAGTATGGATTTTCTTATAATGCAGTCTTGTGATTATCTGACGTACAGATTCATGGTTAGACATTTATGGCGTGTCGCCAAAGTTCCATTTAATTGTTAAAATGAAAATCTGAAGCACTTCATTTAATTTTTTTAAGTACATTTTGGAATATGAACGACTACAGCTTTTAGGTTCTTCCAAATCAGAAGCTTCAGCGACGACTTCAGTTTCAGCTGTGGGTTCATCTTCATCAAAACTGCGCCGAGTTACGCATTCATCCGCGGAACAAGTATTTTGTTTGACAAGGCTACCTTTATGTTTATCGCATGCAAATAAAAGGTGCTGCGTGCTTGGTGTGAGGACTTTTGTCGTCTGATCGATTCCAATTCATCTCCAGATTGTGTTACTAGAAATGGTGAACTGTGGAAAATGGTCTAGACGCATTTGCTCGTTGATTGTTTGAAAAATTTTCACTTTTCACTGATTTCTGTACTATTTTAGTTAATACTTTGTCAAACACATCGCTAACCAAATTCTAACAAATTTGCTAGAAGGATGCCTTCATTGCAGAATCCGGAAGGTAGCGAATTGACTCGACAGCAAACTTCCCACTCATCAGGAACGTTTGAGACAGCAGTAAGTGGTGGGGGAGGTAGGCGAACTGGTTCAAGTTCAAATCGGTCGGGACACGAGAGCTCAAGAAGTGAGTTAAGGTACCTAACGGATTTTTTTCCTGATCAAAGTCCAGGCAATCGACGTCTCACTCGTTCGCAGCGTCAGTATTCGGTTACGGGATCAAGCGTTAGTTTTGCCTGAAATTTTTACGAACTCAGTTTTCTCTTCCGTTCTAATCTTAATGTAGTGTCTCTCTAAGTCACTCTTAATTAAACACATACAATTTTCAATGAACTCCATTATTTATGAATCGACTGCAAATTTTTTGTTGCTTTAAGTTGATCTTAGAATTCTTGACTAGTAATAACTTTTATAATTATGCTACAATAATATTTTTTGTTCAATGTTTCTCTATCATTTGCTTTTGGTAAAGGGAAGCATTTCACCTGATTTTGAAATGTTTACAGAATCATACAGCAGACAATATTGACCATTCTACAATTAACAGCAGCGCTCCATTAGAGGAGCATCAACGGTAAATATATGCTCATCCTGTGTATAAAACAGGAATCACTACTTCTTTTAATGTGTTTGTAACCAAGAAATCTATGTCTTATTTCTTTTTTTTACAGTATTCAAGTTGCAAATTTTTTTCATGATAATGGTGATTATTGTTGTCTTTTAGAGGCCCAAGGGATAGGCCTCGCGGTCGTAGAGGTCGTACTAGTGTAGGAACTCGAGTAGCAGCTGGAGCAGGAGGCTCTCGTGCAACCAGTAATAGCGATCAGCAGCCAAGCACATCAGCACGAACTCGTGCTCACGGTTCAGCAACGGGTGTTTGCCACAGCATTACGTGAGTTCAGATTTCATTAGCTTTCAGGTTATAATATTGTTTCTTGCTGTTAGCATTGTTTTTTTAAGCTGCTAGAAGAAATTTTTTAATTCAATACTTATGATATGAAATGTAGCCTAGGGACATCCCATATTTTGATTTTCTTAAACTGTCTGTGAAATGATGCTGATGCAAGGAAATATTATTCTGGATGCCTTTACTTATTTTAATTCTTAGAAATGTTCAGAAACTTTTTCTATTCTGTTGCATGCTAAAAAAAGATATGTGGTGTATTGTAGGCGATGTGAAGGTACAGGAAATCGTATTCCACCAACTTATACTCAGCAAAGGGAACCAAGTGCTCATCGTTCAGTTTCACAACTCATTGTAATTATTCACCTTCAAGTAACTCTGAAGAATGCAAAGTCCTTGAGATATTTGTGTTTATACTGAATATAGGATATAAAAAGTATGTTTTTCTTTTACTTCTCTTACCTAATAGTATGCGATACTTCTCCAGGAAGCAGGAAATGATGCAAGTTCGAGCACGGTCAATGTTGGAAGTAACTTAACTTTGACAGCCTCGATAAATGCTAGTGAGATAACTGCTGCGGGAGTGGAAGGTGTAAGAACTGCAAATAATCTTACAGTAATCGAAAGTCATACCTCGCAGTTAAGAAATTTACAACGGTCAGTTTCTTGCAATTATTATTTTTATGAATAGTGTATTCCTTCACTCAGTGCAGAAATCATGTGATCTTTACAATATATTCATAACATTCAACTTCTCATAAAATTTTTTGAATGAAAATAATTTCATGTATTTGCTCCTCGGTTTATTCACTTTCATTACACAACTCATCAAATATTAGAGTTTATTGCCATAATTAGTGCTTACGCAAATAGTGAAATTTCTCGTATATGAAAATTATATTGAAAGACCATCTTCCCTTAGAAATTTTTAGCACAAGTACCCTTATATCGAAAGTTGTTTATTTTAGCTCACAGGCTGTTCATGCAGCATCTACGTTCCTTGGTGCTCTTGTACCTCGTGTTCAGCATTTACTTGGTACAGCTCATGCACACCCTAGTAAGTATTGTTTTAATCTGACATTTTTCTTTTTTATATCTCTGATCCTTAGTATTGACTTTCTAAACATTTTTAGGTAAAGCGTTAAAGTTGAATGTCAATTTGAATATATTTGAAATTAGTAAAGCTCAATTCCAGTATTTTATAATCTTGATATGGACTTATCTTTTGATACTGGAATACATTATTCTTGATATTCTTCATATCTGTATTTCAAAAATCATTTTGCCTTTTGAATGGGGATTTCAGATATCATTTTATAGCAGCATGAAAACCAGTAGTCTTTTTATCTGAAAAATTTGCTTTCCGTTTGAGGAAGTACTTGCAATTTTAACCAAGGTTTCTCAAGTATAATTTAATTTGTTAGAAAGTTATATTCATTTAAGAATGTTTTTGATTCATATCTTATTGAGTGTGTTTTCTTTTGTCGATGAGATTTTTTAAATATTTTGGATTTCGATTTGCCATTTTCACAATACTCGAAGTTGCATGATCTCTATTAGTTTTTTATTGGTAACTTTCGATTCAAAACCCATTCCTCCGCTTCTGCTTTGTGTAATTTCATTGTTTTTGAAAGTCAGTAAAATAATATTAGCGATTTGCATTCCTCACTATCTGGAATGTATTAAGACGTTCATATTACTTTACTTGTGCCCTGTGATATCATGCAGTCAAGTATTTTCTTTAAGAATTTTGTAGATGTGTGTGTTTGCGTGAGCGTCTGATTTGATGGAGTAGATTCTTAGTTTTATATGCGGTTTTGGTGCAATATTCATGGATCGTAAATTATATTTAGATCCTGGAAGTATACCAGGTGTCGTTCCAAACGTGCCGGCAGGTCAGGGACAATATCAGTACTTATGGTCTTTACCTGGTAAGATAATTGACAATAGAGTAGCTTTTGTTCGAATAGTGATGACGGGGATATGATGATAGCAATGCTCTAAAAGTAGATCAGATAAGAAAGGTGATGATGTGAAAAATGAGATGAATAGCAAAAATAGAAAAGTTTTTTCAACCCACGAATCAGAGTAATTTAACCATTAACCCGGCATTAAAATGTGTGCTATTTAGAACAAGAACGATACCAGTATATGATGAGCATGATGCCTACGCAACAACTTTATAATGTTTTTATGGGTAAGGATCACTTTTGTAGAAAAGGGTTCTAGAGAAAAAACGCACTTCCTCCCTCAAAAGTTTTAATTCAATAATTTAGGGGCAGCTTTATTTTATATTAATATAAGCTATTTAGGTGCCAGCAATGCAGCTCATGGAGAAATGAGCGGTGCAAGAAATTGGGGAGATTCATGGCAAAGTGCCGGACGTGGTTTTTCTCCGGGATACAGTTTTCCTCAAATTGTTTCTGCGGGTAGCGTAAATTCTTCAAAATTGGCTGCACTGCTAGTAGTAATTTGATTTCTAGAAATTAAAGTCGAGAAAATGAAAAGGATAGCGTTTGAGAGTAGCGAATTGGTGGTGGAAATTAAAGTAATAGATCATCTACATTAGTGAAATTTCATGCATTCAAGGGACTAAAATAATTATCTATGCTGCCCAAGTCCAGCACATCAAAACTCGATCGGCGAGGTTGGAATTGAAATATTAAGCTGTGATATATTAGTTACAGAGGATGCAGTACCCACTTCTGCTTGATTTAAGTAAACATGTCGAAAATTTAGGTCTGGTTAATCGCTTAACACGTTTAGGTCCGGTAAATCGCTTTCAAAACATGTGGATGCGAAATCCGGCATACAGGTTTTTTCAGGCGACAGGTGTGGGTAAGATAGCTTTCAAAGATGGACTTTTCAATCTACCTTCATTACTAGAAAATATTTTGTCATATTCATCTTGTAAATTTTGGATGATTTAGATTCGAGAGCTAGTAATCAAGGATATGGAAACGTGCAGTTCTTAAATCATCCACCACCAAGTTTCTTTCGGGCGACAGGTGCGAAATAGATAGTTTTTTAAGGTTCACTATGACTATGTGATTGTTTGGTCGCACTTAATCTCATTTCACTCTTGACCATATAATCTCCTGGTATTACACATGAAAGAACTGTATCTGAGATGGAGGACAGGACTTTTAAGTTAGGTAGGGGTAAGATAACTGTTTAATTTTTATTTGCTCCTGTAAACTTCGGATCATTTAGGTCCCAGACCTCCTCGTGGGTTCAACCCAAGTCATGCAGGACATATTGGACAGCATCATCATCAGATACATCCACAACGTAAGTGTATGTTTCTTTAACATAGCGCTACACTCTACTGATAGCATAACTCAATGTCCCTGTGTTCTTCGATAAAATTCAGTCTGGAAACTGGAAATCTCTGAATTTCTTAAGCAATGAAGAGTTCTTGATAAATTGGAAATGAATTTTTTTTCTGTCACAGTCTGCAATTTTCTGTGCAGTTAGAAACTATTTTATTTATAATAGCTCAAGAAATACTTTAGTTTATATATTAAGGCCTGTGTAGTCTAAGATAAATTAAATTTATGAAGATTGTGTGAGCAATAATTTTTTCAATAGTTATGGGCCGAGCATTTCATTTGATTCATTTTCTATCACTACATTTCCAGATCCAGAAATAGTTGAAGGAATATTTGCATATCTTTATGGTAGTTATGTTATATGTTCATTTCATCACTATGATTAGCTACAAGAGTTTTTCATGCTGTCTCTAAACTTTAGTTAGCAGTCATACTGGGTGCTAATTATTCTGCTTTCTGGCAATCAGTCTCATTTACACCTTTTTTTTGCGAGAAAGTAATTGTTGTTGGAAAGTTTATAGCTGAAACGGTCATACTTTGTAGCAGAAAGCATATGAAGACAATGTATGGATTTCTTAATCTGTTGGCAGTAATCGGTTATGTGAAAATATTGGTTTCATCTATTATACAAATAAGTGCGTTTAATGAATGTCCACGTAATGATAGTCAAGCATGATATGCAGTATCTGTGGCGCTATATAAGGAGCATGAGAAGTACTAACAATTGAGATATATGATGGAATTCGCAAAATAGACAAGATTTCAGCATTGATAGGTATGCAGAATTCAATAGGACTGGTTATGAATAGATAATTTTGGTGTGTTGTTGCTTTTGTACTAACTTATCAGAAATGCACTTCTTGTTAACCATTAGTACAGTCATTTCTACCAAAAATGTAATTGGTATCATCTTGCGTTATCTGATTTTAGTACTCACACTTGTGAAGTACTGATATTGATAATACATTAATAGTTCAGCTATTCATTCATGTCTGAGCAGTTTTTTTTTCTACTAGTAGTTAGATTTAAATGACCTTGCTGCAAAATTTTGTAAAGTACATACCAGTCTAAAAGTGCATTGGAGCGAGATTTTCAGGATTAATGTCGAGTGTACTATCTAAAGTAATATTGATTCATTCTCAGTGTATGAAGTTGGAATATGTATAAGGAGTGAAGCGATAATTTGCAGAGTAGCACTACTTACTGTGCTTATTTTACTGTTTGTACTGTATATTTTCACTGAACATGCATCATTACTAAAAGTAGTCTTTGCATTTCCTCTTCAAATATGAAAGGTTCTGTAATTAACGCTTTGGTAATATTCCTTTTTTTTCCCTCTCATTTGATAAGAAGTAGACGTTACCATATTTATATGGACAGTGCTTCATTCCTTGATATCTGATATTGCGCATAATAAAAAAAAGGTGATTAGGAAAATTGACTCTGAGATTAGATCGATGATTGAGTTTAAGTTGATTTGTATTGAAACAGAAGTAAATAAGAAACAGTGATGTTTGAAAACAGATATCAATTCATCATAGCAAGATGTTATCTTCTATTGAGTTTCTTATCTGATTTTATAAATGTGGAAGAAGGCTGAACGGAACGTTAGACGGCAGCAGTATCTATCAAGTTGTACTTTCTTCCCTTAACTCTTGGATTCTCTTATTGCTTTTGTTGGCTCTCTTGTTTTATTTTAGTCTTTGCTATATTTGTTATATCTTATTAAAGAATTCCAAGTTTTTTCTCTTTCTTTCTATGCCACATTCGATTTAGATAATCTTAGGATTAATACTAATCTAGTTCAGAAAAGAAATGATCTTGAACATGAAAAAAATTAGATCTGCTAAATTTATCATGCATTGATAGATAAGAAAACTGGACATGAAGTAAGGACGCTCAGTATATTTATCTAAGATGTAGATGCTAGTATTTTTTAATAATCAGGAAGTCAGTTAAAGGCCGAAAAAAAGTCGAAATGATAATTGGTTTTTCTCTAATATGTCATGAGTTATTTTTACACATATCTTTAGAAAGGACTGTATTTTAAATTTTTCATATTAAGAGTCTCAGATTTGGTCAAATTAATTAAAAGAAACTATCTTTATCGCATGTGATTATGAAGTAGCCTTTTTGTTTCAGATGCAAGAGTGGTTTCAATAATGGAAGGCCTTCGTTCAACAAATGAGATCAGTCAATTTGAAGCAGTTACTGAGTTGGCGGATATGCTGCTTTTAGGCAACGAGGAGAGCCTTCCAAATTTACCAATCAAGGAGATCGTTCATGCTCTTATTGTCTTGCTTCAGAAAGAACATAATTTCGAATTAGTGCGTATACTGTCATCTAATAAGTGACTCAGTTTAGCATCACCTATAGACTTGTACTATTACAGTTTGCATGTACAGTTCATGAAACATTAATATTAAATGTTATTTTATTTACTAATTTTCTCAATTTTGTTAGTTGTTCATTAGATAATCTAACTTTGACACCCAATTCCTATATCAGCTAATTATGATTAATTTTCACTAGGCTCAATTTTAGATGCTTACTGCTGCAAGATGTATATCAAATATGTTAGAAGCTTTACCACGTGCATTACCTGTTGTTATTGACACAGTACCATACCTTCTTGAAAAGGTTTGTAAGAAGCATTTTTTTCTTTTAATTTTCGTACTAAAGGTACATGCTATGATTTAAATTTTAGCCTCACTATGGAAGCATATGGCTCTGTCGTGATTATTAATTTAATATATGCAACATGCTTATATAGAATGTAGCCATACCACTTCGTCTTCCACAATAGTAGAAATAGATTTAACATTTATGATAGTTGTTTGCTTCATATTCTTCTAATTTAATTTTTGAAATTAGTATAATTCGTCATAGAATTTACTGTTATCAGGTTCGCTTTACTTTGCAATGCAAATTTTCATTTTATTTGGCTGTTGAGTTGACTATATTGGTCAATCTTTCAGCTCAAACGTATTGAGTGCATCGATGTAGCAGAGCAATCACTGATGGCTTTAGAAGTTATGTCGAAAAGGAACGGGAAAAATATAATGTTAGCCGTAAGTTTTGATTTCATTACAATTGTATTTCTTTAACATATGTAATGAAAGCTTATTAAATTAGGTAGTTTAAATTCAAATCTATAATATAATTTATCTTCTCGATTTTTCTTTTGCTGGTGAAGGAAGCATAGTTATCTCAAAGAAAGCAGTGGTATCTACTACAGTGCAAAATGTATATTATAGAATAGATTTTTTTCTGATCAAAACATTCAAAACATGTATGAATTTTCAGGGTGGAATTGCAGCAACTATATCTCACGTAGATTTTTTCTCTGTACCTTCGCAGCGTTTAGCTTTTCAAATAGCTGCTAATTGTGCATCACATGTATCATGCAGCGATTTTGCACAAGTGCGTGATTCATTGGCTGACCTCACCCAACGGCTTTTAATCGAGGTGCAGCGATGTGTTTAAATCTTATTTTTTCATTATTTTTCCTCAGAAATATGGCCTTTAAAAGGAACTATTGTTCTACAGGATAAGCGATGTCTGGAATCAGTTTGTTTGTTATTCTGTCGTTTGGTGGAGAATATGCGCAGTCATGAAGAAAAACTGCGGGAAATAGCTGGACAGAATCATGCACTGCTAAAAAATATTCAACAATTGCTGCTAGTGCAACCTTGTGCTGTTGGTCCCAGTACATTTCAGGCATTAATTAGAATGTTGCGTGCACTGGCCTCGCAATGTAGTGATCTTGCAGTTGCATTAATTTATATGGGTTTGTTATACTGTGTCCAATTCACCTAAAATATTTTAGTTTGCAACTGTTTTTTCATGTCGCATTTGATCTGTTAATGCCAATTATTATGTTAATAGTCGTTATTTAAAGGCTTTTGTTAAGCAACTCTCAACAATAGAAATAATATCATTTTAAATGTACTCCGATTTCATAGGTTCATAGTTTGAGGAATTTGCAGATTTTGCTAGAACTATCAAATTTTTAATTGTTGGGTCAAAGGAAGTTGATCATGCGGCTATCGAAATTGCTGATCGTTCACCTTTGCATTTACAAGAGCTTGTTAACTTAACTGGGTCAGTTTTCCATTTGTTTAGCGTCCATAAACTGCTATGAAAATCAAAAGTGTTAAATATGTATAGGGTTTTTCTTTTTTTCTCATTCCACTGAAACTGAATAATAGTTGTCTACTTAAATCTACCATTCACTATTCATTATCATCTTCTCTTTCAGAGAATTGATGCCACAGTTACCTACTGACGGAATTTTTGAAATTGATTCCGTTATGTTGCGTTCACAAAGTCCATCTGATGACTCGCAACCTACGTTGTGGTACTGGAAAAATGACTTAAATCAGTGGTTACCGTTTAGTAATTTCGACTCAAGGCTGATAGAGGTACTGTTTAATCAGAAAAATCCTTCTGTCAGTAAAATTGTTATATTTCATTATTCAAATTTAGTCTTAAAAAATTTTGGGGGCAACTTTCTTGTATCGTGATTAAACATGACCACAAATCTTGGTGACCTGATGAATGTTCATTGAAACCAGTGGTCTGTGGTTCATTTTATTTGAGAAAATCTTGGATTTCGATCATGCTTTCAAGTTTAATTTTTCAAAGAAATATGACTGTTTTTTTGAAGATGTCGTTTTCAACAAATGAAATAGAAATAGACCTGCAAATTAACGGTGATATTCATAAAATTGATCTGCAACGGATGGTGCAGCGGAATCTTTCGACTGGTAAAGAAAGATCTATACAACGACGAACATCTGTTTCAAGTAAGTAGGGAAATTTTCCAATTAATGATAAATGGATCTGTAATCATGGACATAATACCAGCGTTCAAGCTATTAAAGTTGCAAATTTTTGATTGTAAATATGTTTAATTTTTGTAAAATTTCATAACGTTTGTGGAGGATTAATTATAAGTTCAAGGTTAAAATTATTGTTTTGTTTTTTTAAAAAAGAAGACTTGCAGAGCCAAAACCAACACCCGTAGGTAATGATAAACGTTTGGAGCTGATGCAGACAGAGCCATTATTGTTGGAACAAGTCGTACAGTTACTTCTTCCGATATTGGTGGAAATCGATGGTAGTTCAGTGAGTTTGATGATTGCAGTTATGGACTCAGTAATATAGCTGCTCAAATTAGATTGTCGTGTTTTAGAGTGGACCTGCACTACGATACGAAAGTTTACGTGTAACCTTGCGTATGATTTATCCATCTGATGTAAGAGTGTTAAAAGATATTTTGGCAACTCTCCCTCTCGCTGGACATATCGCCAGCGCTTTGGCTAGTGCAAGAAGCAAAGATCTCTGTGTTGTGGCATCAGCGTTGCAGCTGACACATTTACTTTTGGATAAATTTCCAGAAATGTACAATCCGTTATTTAAGCGGGAAGGTTGGTCATATTTCGTTATTTCCATTTAAGTAAAGTTATTTTCCCTATTTACTGGCTATTACCAAATTATAACACTCAGTTGGTTGCTTGATGGCTGACGATGAAGTCAGTAATGATTTGTTGCTAGAAAACGTTGATTGTGAGAAAGTACATCAAAAGTTCTTCATTCATGCGTAACAAATGATGGGATAATTGTTACGTTATTTAACATTCCAAATAATTGCTGTTTGAAGGCGTCGCGTATGAAGTTGAAAAACTGTCGAAAATCAAGCTTGAATCACCAGTACCGTCTTCTTCAGTAGCTCAAGTATCGCATATTGATGATCATAATAATTCAGCGATTGTCTCAGGATCCACAACGCAAAGCTCTATAAAAACTCGAACATCGGAATCAGTAGAAAATTCAGCTTGTAATTTTTTAGACTTTTGTAAAAAATCGAGAAAAAAGTATAATTTTTACTTAGTATCTTTGGAGTTGGTGCCAATAATATGAAACGTATGCATGAATCATTTTTCGAGAATATTACCGTTACTGCAACATTAATTATTTCAGTCAAGCAAACTGTGAATGCAAAAAGCCGTAATGCTGGACAAATAACAGTTTCTGCAGCAGAAGCTGGTCCAAGTTCTAGTAATGCTACACGTGTTATTGTGTCACCAAATGGTGGCCGACATCGTCGTAAAGCTTCACCGGAAAGGTATTTTTTTTTTGGTACTTGAATCAGCTGTGGAAAATGTTTAAAATTTAGGGGGATTTATTTTATAAATAATGTATTTTCTAACAAGCATAGTTTGTGTTGCATCTAAATATTATTTGCGTCAGTTTCAGCCCAATTTCGCGTAAGGAATCGCGTCGCAAAACTGCACCATCCAATTTTCTTCATACATTGCGCTTACCATCTTTTCGGATGCCGAGCACGTCAGCATCAACTGGACATTCTCCTCTTAACGGTATTCCATCTAATACTTCGCTCTCTACGCTTATCAGTTCCATTTCACCATCCATACCTTCTGGACATCATTATCCTTCGGGTATTTGCATTTTATATCTCATTTTTATATCTGATTTGATAGTTCTCTTTTAATATGGCATTATGACTCTAAAATTAAGTGGGACACAAATTGCTGTGCTAAAAATGCCAAAATAATGCAATTAGTTCTTTTGAAGAATTATTTCACGCTTTAAATCAAATTTCTCAGTTATTTTAAAGCATTGGACTTTGATTTTTGCCTGAGTTTTTTATTGTTTTTAACTAATTTTTAGTATTTAGTTTTGACTTTGGTAGCATACTTCGTCAATAATTATGACTGTATTTAGGATCTGGTAGTAGTTCGATTGCTGGTGGTTCATCATCGGCTCATACCTGCATGACACGAGGGCGTATGTCAGCCTTTATGTCATCCGCTATTGGAGGTTCATCTTCGACTGTTTTGATGCAGTCATCCAGTGGTCATTCATCATTTATGATGCAGTCATCTATGAGTAGTGCATCTGGTTTGAATCATCAGCAGCGTGAAATGATTCGTCATTTTGTACGCCAAGAAGGTATATTGATTTGTACGAACTTTTGTACTGTGATCAGAAAAATTCTGAATATATGGAAAGATTTAATCGTAAAATTATTATAATCACTTTGTAAGTTGAAGTTCGTAGGTTTTTGATTCTCCTAGCACTTACTGAAAATGTGCTTGAATATGCACATGATATTCATATTTATGATGATTGGTTTTTAAAATAACTGAGTATTTTTTAGCTGAATTCCTGATGCAAGCGTACTTTTCAACACCATTATCAGGCGTTGACGGTGCAGCTCCCTCGCTTCTTAGTCGTCTTATAGTAGTATCTACTTCACTTGCTAGTAATCAAGATGTAGGAAGCAGTGCACTTACTGAGTTTAAAGTAAGCTTTTGATTATGTTGAAGTCATTTCATTTGAGTGGAAAATACACACAATCAGGAAAAAAGATTCTTAAATGTTGCAGACCATTTTACTGGAAAATGATGTGAGTGCCTTTGAACTGAATCATAGTGGTGTTCTTACTTCTCTATGTACATATCTCACGAGCACCTCATCAGGACGTCATCCCCCTCGTAAACTTCGCCTGAAACGTTTTGTCGCTGTCTTCATGTCCCTAACTGTACGTTCCATCTTTTGTTGTGTTGTATTTGATGGACTTATATAATTTGCTTTATAGACATTACTGTTGTTGCACAAAGTAATTTTTGAAAAATATAAACGAAGTTCATTATGTAAGCGCCAAATTATGTAGAATATATTGGTGAATATTTAATTATTCCATCAGATTCCAGCTTAGTATAATTTATATTTAAGAAATGGTGTTTTCAGCCGGATAATTTGAGGCCTGTGGATGATCCAGACAGCTGGTCCTCTTTTGAAATTTTAGTTGCGAAATTGCTTGCATCAGTTGCTCAGCAGGAACAGTTTCAAGTTGTTTTTTTTCTAAACTTAGGTTTAAAGTGGTTAGGTCCCTTTTTATACTTAGTAGCATGGGTTCTGATTAACATAGTAATATTCAGATAGTGACCAGAAGGCTTAGAAAACCAAGCTAATTGCCACTTGCTTTTATTGCATAATTACGAAGTATGCTTTTTGAGGTAAAAGTTACTGATGTGGGTGGAATGTTAACTGGTAGTTCAGGAGGATCTTTGCGTGGTTCACAAGCATTGCGGTTTTTCCAAACTCATCAAATTCGAGTATGTTTCCGTTGTATAAATTATTCGTCTCTCCTATCTTCTCGAAGTTGTTAATCATTTCATTTATATTTTGTCCATTGCATGATTTTTCGTTTCAGTGCAATTTAAAGCGACATCCAAGCTGCAAGGATTTGAAAGATTGGCGTCATGGACACGGCTCTATCAAGGTTTCATGTTTATTTGTCAGTCTTACTAATTTTTTTAAGAGATCAAATGAAGTGCTACTGAGTAAACAGGTAGGGCTGAAAGTTATTGTTGGTTGCGATCAAATTTTAGTAACTTTCTGTTTAGGTTGATCCTTTTACTTCAATTTCTGCCATCGAAAAATATCTATTGGATCGTGGAATTGGTTATGTTCGTGCGGAGGAGTCATCTGGTGATGAAGATAATAGCGATGAGGAAGAACTGCCTTCTGTAAGCTGTCAAAAAACTGAAGCTTTGTAACAAATTAAGCACTCATAATTCATTTTTATTTACAGGAAGGATCTGCATATAACATAAATCCTCAACCTGGTCGAATAGAAATTTTAATTAATGACGTGAAGGTTCCAGGCCATATGTCAATTTTACAGGTATATTAAGTTATTCTTAACTTCTTATGTCGTGGAAATTCTTATTTTCCATTCCGCGTGATCATTTTTCTATGCATTTTCAGTTGCTCAGTGTGGTGCATGTTTTGTTATAATCCAATAAACTGAAGGGATCTTTAGTCGATATTGTTCATTTTAGGCTTTAAGACAATTTGGCCAGGTAAACTTGGGAGAAAGTACGGATCAAGTGACCTCATCTTCTACCGGAATATGGGTAAACACGCATACTCTCCATTATCGTGCTGCTCCTCCGGCGTCATCTGAAGGACCAGCAATAACGGGACTGGTGAAGCCTGCTTCAGCGAAATCCGAAAAGCGTGAACGACGTTCTAAGATTAATGAGAAACTATGGATTGGTAAGAGTTTTTATGTCGGAATTCTATTTACAATTCGAAGATTTTTTTTATAGTTTATGAGGTTGATCTTGGATTTCGAATAATTTTCTGAGCATTCTGTAATTATAGTCACTAAAGATAATTATAGTCACTAATCTTTTCTATAAACGATTTTTTTTTGGGTCAGCTTAATATGGATTTTAAATTGTCATAAAGGACTTTGAGTTAGTTCTAATTGAAATTTTTGATACTTATGATAGTTTATAAATTATGAGGTTAAGAAGTCAGAAATTCGGTCTAGAAGCAACTTTATGATTGTTTCCGTCCTATATTAGGTGCAGCTGATCATAAGTTCTTCAGTTGAGATCTTATAAATATTCAGATGGCGAAGTACCACCCAGTCCATGTCCTTTGGAACCTTACTTAATGAACACTTTACCAGTCAACATAACTGATCCTTGTATGTCTTCGCTGGTTGTTTTACGATGTCTTTATGCACTCAATCGATTTTGGTGGAGATTATTTGACGACGAGGATATCCCACCAAACACCCATGCACCAATTTTGCCTAATACGTATGTTGAAAGAAAATAATCGTTCCCTGTTTGGAAGCTGTAGATTGCTTTTGGTGTAACAGTTAATTTAGAATTTCAGAGAACTGAAAATGTTCAACTGGATATTTGACTAAAAGTTCCCCTTCACAAAAAATATGTATTCTGATTGAGTGTATTGAAAAAGACTCTTTTTCAGAGCTTTCCATTCTTCGAAACTTAATGCAAAAGTAGGACGTCAGTTATCAGACTTCTTGTCTGTTGCAATGCAGCAAATACCTAGATGGATATCTGATCTGATTCAGGCAGTGTAAGTTTATATCTTATACTTTTGACAACACTAGTTATTGAACTACATTTTAAAGTTTGTGAAATATATTGGAATCGGCAACGCACAATTTTAGTCACTTAAGTATTCTTCTCATTTTAAGACTCTCTCCCAATTATGGTTCCCAAATTTCACTTTCATACTTTTTCAAACCTTCTTTACAGGCCTTTTATATTCACATTTCCATCTCGACGCAATTATCTTTACTGCACAGCATTTGGAAGAGATCGAGCACTTATGCATCTTGTGAATCAAACAGATGGTGGTCACAATGACGGTGAAAGTGGACGACTAACGCCGCGTCTTGAAAGGCGCAAGGTGTCAGTGCGCCGAGATGATTTGTTGCGTCAAGCGGAACAAACTTTTCATCATCTTGGGACGAGTCGGTTAGTTACATTTACGTAAAATTGATTATTTCGTATTTTTAAATTTTTTAAGCCATGTGAATTGACTTCAGAGCTATGTTAGAAGTCGGTTTTGAGGGAGAAGCGGGTACAGGTTTTGGTCCAACATTAGAATTCTATTCTGCAGTGTCACGAGAAATACAGAAATCATCTTTGCGTCTTTGGCATGGTCAAGTAGTAGCATTAAATCAAAATGGTAAAATGTTTGAAATTAAGACTGCAATGTAAAGTTTCGTCGATTAACCTAATTATTTGCCAATGGATTGGATTTACTTGTACCTACTTGAAGCATATTGTATTTGATATCAATTACATTCCTGTACTCAATGTTGTCTCTTATATTTGAGATGGACCAGCAGCAAATTATACCGTAGCACCGGCAGGTCTCTATCCTTCTGTATGTCCACCGCAAAATGCTAAACAGCGAGATGCTCGCTGGAAGAAATTTGAATTTATTGGTCGTTTGTTGGCTCAAGCATTAATTGATGCACGCATGGTAAGTAATGAAAATTGAATTGCATTCATTACTTATATACGTTATGGGTTTTTGTAGCGTATTTTATCATAGGAGCAAGTTAACTTTGTTATGACATGCAAATGAGCAACTTTTTTTTTTCATCAGGTTCGGTATTTTCAAATTAAATATTTAGCTGGATATACCATTCAATCCTGTATTTTTCAAATGGCTGTGTGGCGAAGACAAAATGTTCGGTTTAAGTGATTTAGAAGTTTTTGACAAAAACCTATATCAGTCACTGCGTGCATTAATTTTAACGGATCCAAATGACTTCGATTCCCTTGAACAGGTTGTAAATTGAGATGTTTCTTATCTTTGTTTATATTTTTCTATAACTGCAATATTGGTGTTAAATTTAAACATTGGTCAAAGGATGTCAGTAGGAAACAAAGATTTTAAAAAAATTGTCTGACTGATTTTAAAGTATCATTAATTTACAGTATTTCACTTTGCCTGGTGATGAAAATTTCGAACTTATTAAAGGAGGGAAAAATAGACGGGTGACGAGTTCAAATGCCGTTCAATTCATGAAGGTTATTTCTGTTTCTAGTTTCATTTTCAATGTTTTTAAGTCAACATAGCAATTTATTATTAATTTTTTCCAAACTATTTAATGGGTCGTAAACATTATGAATATTGTCAAGGTGTATTAGATTGGTTAGCCCTCAGATTTTTTGTAAGTTTGTATAAATGTATGATAAAGAATATCTGGATTTTCAGTTAGTAGCTCATTGGCGGTTAGTTGAAGGTGTAAAGCGCGAAATGGAAGCTGTACGCAAAGGTTTTGAAACTATAATTAAGATCAAGGATTTGTCGTGTTTTACTCCAGAAGAAGTCATTATTTGTATAGTTATTAAATTTTTGGTTATGAAAAATGAGGGGATTTTTTAGCATGAGTTTGAGGGGTGAGAAAAGTGAATTTAGATTATTCTTTTTTGTGATCTTTGAACTCTCCCACATGTACGAAATGCAACTGTAATAGTATTAGTTCGAACAATTTATAAGTATTTAGTATATTTATAAACATTTATTCAGATGGAGGAACTGTTTTGTGGTTGTTCGGAAGAGACTTGGAAACGCACTTGGAATGAATCTGCCTTGCAGTCAGCGATAAAACCAGATCATGGGTACACACATGACAGTGAGCAGATACGTTGGCTCATTCAAATGCTTGCATCTTATGACAACGAGCAGGTTCGGCTGCTTTCTCGATTATCATAACTTTTAATATGTGTTCTTTACTAAAAGCATGGTCAAATTAAGATAATTATCCTTTTCAAAATTTCGGTAGTGTGTAGTTTGAAAAATTCGAGTTTGTCAATGACATTATCTTATTCTTAAAATCAAACCCTGAGTTGGTTGCTTCATGTAGAAGTTACATATTAACTATACGAAGAAACAATTCGTTCCTCATTTGGTTTTTGACTTTTCTATAGCAGTAGTTGAACATATCTGAAATGTTTCTTTATCCTTTCTTAATATTATAGATATTTAAGCTTTTTATTTATCTGTAGTTTTATGATGCTTTTTTCAGCAGAGGAAATTTCTGCAGTTTGTTACGGGCTCGCCAAAACTTCCAGTTGGTGGTTTTCGTTCTCTGAATCCCCCACTGACGGTTGTCAAGAAATCAGGCTCATATGGAAACGGTGACGATGAACTACCATCAGCAATGACTTGTTATAATTATCTAAAAATTCCAGCCTATAGTACTTACGAAATATTTCGGGAAAGATTCGATGTTGCGTTACGTTTTATCTACAGTTTTCATTTAACGTAAACCAATTTTGAATATTTCTACAAGATTTATTTTTATCACTAAATGTGTATTATTAATAGTTTTTTTGTCTCGTATTGAGCTCTATTCAGTTTCCTTACACTTCATATAATGATCATTTGTTTTGATACAGCATTTTCTGGGTGCATGATTTTGTGAATGCTAATAGTCATTCCAGTTTGTTTGCATTCTGAGTTTTTAAAATGGAAGTTCGGTCTTCGTTCAAATTAGGCTTGATTTACAATTGGTCTTATATTAAAACTTTATAGTTTTTGGAACTAACTAAATTGACATCTAGAGCACTGATTAGGATGTATTCACGGTAGCAATCCTCATCACATTGTCTTATATTAAAAGTATAGCTATATGGAATAAATATGAAATGTCCAAATTTTTTCTTCGAGTCTTTGCTATCTGAATTTTTGAGTGAAATATTGGGCCCCCGTTTATTTTACTGACTTTTTTCATTAGTTTTAAATGATAGAAGTTTTTGTAGTGAGGTATGATGCTAAAAGTTGATTTTTGAGAATTTGCGTATATCTGTCAATAACTGACATTGTTGAACGCTCTCTTTGAAGAATTGGTATGGATGTTTATAAGTTGCAACTTAAACTGGTTGTATGGTTGTACTGGTTGGTACATTGCTTTCGACAAATAATGCTCGAGTTTTTATTGGTTCGTTTGTTTTGTCGTGGTTCCACTTTATCTGTTATATTTTCTCACCTTCTATGCGGTGTTAAAATGTGCTTTCTCATATATACAAGGCAGTCGTTGCAGAGACTCATTTTGTTATATTCAGCTGTAAGAAGTTTGCTATTATCTATTTATGTTGAGATGCATTGGAAAGGAGATGAGAGAGGGTCATTTATTTCCTAGAAAATTTTGACTTTTTTGGTTTTTGTGGTGATAAGGATTGAATTTTTTGTTTATCAAGTTCTTGTTAGTTGGCGCAAAAATGCATTGCATAGGCAAATTATACTTGAAGAAATAAGTGGATTCTTTTTAACTTGAATTTCAAAAAACATTTTTGGAAAAAGACATCGTGAAAGAAGTCTCTGCCTCACTAATGTTTTTCAGTTGATAGAATCATTTTTCAGTCGTCTTTCGATTCCTGTTGAGATACTGAGAATATGCGAGGTGCAAATTGTTTTTTGTCGCTAAAAGAGTATTAACTACTAACGCTTCTTTTGATTACAAAATTTGACTCGGTGAGTTTGCGCTATATCCGTTGCGTCTAAAATATTTGTTTTGAAGTGGGTGAGGGTCGTCGCATAAAGTTTTGCAGACTGATTTCTTCATGTGAGTTTGGATGCGAGGAACTAACTACTTGGTCGTAGCAGCTTCAGTTATACTGTCTAAAGGGTTAGGTTACATTTTTGGTTAAAAGTTCAGATTAAATGGTGACAGTGGCTGAGACCATTGTATTTATCCTTTTACGGCAAACCATCTTTCCAGGTTTGGAGGTATGCCTATATATATATATAGATCATGTGTAGCGGGTCGAGTCTTCTTTTCTGTCTTGGTTCTCGCGTTGGATCGTGTTCCGGCACTTTAGATGTACTCGACCGGCAGTCCGTCCTGTGGTCGAGTACATCTAAAGTGCCGGAATGGTTCCGGTATGCTGCTCGAATACTTTCCCATGACCTTCACGGAGCTTTCTTTAACGACCTCACCTGTTACCCACTTGTTTCCATTTATGATTACAGGCTTGGCTTTTTTCCGTTTCTCCTCCATTTCCTGCTTTGTGATGCGATCGACTACTACCTGGCAGCTCAACCGCTCGGCAGCTCGGAAGAGCCGAGCAATATTATAGGAATATATGGGAGAACAAAGGAAGTTTGGTCAAAACTGGTCGCTTTATTCGAGATGTAGTTTGAATATGTAATGCATAGCATATGCCTGCCGAAGGTAACTAGCCATAGAACCAGTTATCAAGAACCTGGTCTTATTTGGCTCCTCCTTCAGTGCAGCACCCGCTATGTTTGCCCTGGCAAGTGCGACGTTACATATGTCGCTCCGGCCAAGATGGTTTATAGGCTTTGTCCTATTCATACCACCAGTAGAACACGCGGCCCACCTCCAAAAGTTACCCTATATCGGTACGCAACTTGGATCGAGCATTCCAGTCACTTCTCATTCTACCTACGCGCGTGGCGTCGCTTTTCCTTAGGTTTTACAGCCGAGGCCTACTCACGTGTGTCACGCACCAAGGACTCCATACGCGCGGAGGGGTACAGTACTATACAACCTAGGGAGGGATG